TCTCATGTCTCTGACATGTAGCAGGTTACCAGTTTTTACCAAACATCTGATTTATGTGTTATTTTGCATCTAGTTAGAGAATGTAAACACAATGGATGCTGTGTGAAATGACTCAGGGTCTGACTCAGTAAATCAAGGCTTCACATTTTTCAACATGTTAAAACAACACAAATTTTTTTTAATGTCAGTTTAAAAATACCCTGTCTTGGCTCAAAAGTATTAAATCTTTAACATTTTTTGTTACAAATCCAAGAATTGTATGTGCACAACCTCATTTGGATGAATCTCCAACCTGTTCTCTCCAAGTACATGAAGTACTGATCACATAAATATGCCACAGACAGGCAAAGACAATTTTAGGAAAAACTGTGAAAGCATTGCTGTTCCTAGGAGATACAAAGCTTGAAACTGAAAATGAATGTAGATTCAGTTCTTTATATGTTGTTATATTTAGTTTTCTCACTACTGGTTAAATGATTGTTGTTGTTTTTAACCCCTACTTTGGGTTTGTGCTTTATTTTTTTCACCACTCATTGAAACATGCTGCATTATGTGACAGTTTAATAACAAAGTCCAAGGCATGATGTATCCACCATCTAATTTGACGTTTGTTGGTTTGTTTAGGGATTCTACTTTGGAAATGTTGACATTCTAGTTACTGATTGTCACTGTGGTCATAAACTTAGCCATGATTCATGGTTATATTTTGTCCTTTTTTTCTAGATAAAACAAGAAAAACAGGGACGACCACACCAAAAGAAGAGAGAAAAGAACAGGCCATGGCTGCGGGGATGATTGCTTCTCAAAGTGGTAAGCAGCTAGCCTCAAATAGGCTCTGCATACTTTTCACTGCAACATACCTTTCTCTTTCATAGCGATTCTATCTTGATTTTCCACAGTTAATAAAATATGTAAATATGCAAGAGTATGTTCAACTTTTCTGGCTACAGCCAATGATTTTTGGTGTAAAATCCTCACCTCAGAACTCATTTTTGATTAATTTCTTCACTAAAAATGTGAACTTGTGCATCTTTTGAGTGGGATATTTGAAGAATTTGGTGGTGCAGTCTGTGAATTAAAGTTGTTCGACTGGTTAAAAAAACAACAACAACAACAATAACAACAGTTTCAGTTTTCAGGTTCTACAAGATTATCTGCCTTACATAAGTGTGATGGTTTCATTGTTATTTGATAGCCAGCATGTTGTTAAGCTAATTAATTGTATTTGTCAGCACATTTTACTAATATGCTTTGTTTACAAGTTGTACCATATCAAGTTATTATTAATTAGTAA